AATACATGAAATGCTTTAGTTTTTAGGAATGAAAGCCAAATTAGTGTCAAATAATTAATTATATACTTTTAATAAGAATTATGTGTGGAACAAAAGGATGTAGAAAAGTTGAAGTAAAAGTATAGTAAAAATAAATGCCATCCAAATAGTAATTGAAAGAAAGTTGGTTTAGCTCTATTAATAACAGACAAGATTTTTTTTTAGGGAAGAAAGCATTATTAGAAGTAGAAGTCTTGGGGCACCTAGGTGGCTCAGTTGCCTTCGGCTCAGGTCATGGTCCCAGGGTCCTGGGATCGAGCCTCGCATCGGGCTCCCTGCTCTGCGGGAAGCCTGCTTCTCCCTCTCCCACTCCCCCTGCTTGTGTTCCCTCTCTCACTGTGTCTCTCTCTGCCAAATAAATAAATAAATAAATCTTAAAAAAAAAAGTAGAAGTCTTTATAATAATAATTTTTAAAGTATTAATTACCAAGAAAAATATTCAAAAATGAAAATAAGTTCAGATATTGAAATGTTTCAGATATTTTAAAAGATATTAACAATTTTATGCCAATACATATAAAAAATAAAAAGATCATAACAATAAAACTTCTTGAGTTGACGAGAATTAGAAAACATGACTTTTCTTTATTTATCATGGAAAGTAGAAATTTTTGTTAAAAAAATCCCACAAAGAATAATCTAGGCCCATTTTAGGGTGACTTACCAAACACTTAGAGAAGAAATTCTTCCAATTTTGTATAACTCATAAAGAATAGAAAAAGAGAAACTCTCTCCACCCCATTTCATGAGGGCAATATAACCTTAGTATCAAAATCCATGTGATACATCACATCAATAAGAGAAAGGATAAAACTGTATGATCATTTCAATGCAGAAAAAGCATTTGACAAAGTACGACATCTATTCATGATAAAAACTCGCAATAAAGTATATTTAGAGGGAACACACCTCAACATAGTAAAGGAATATATGGAAAATCCACAGCTAATACTAAACCTGAAAGCTTTTCCTTTATGGTCAGGAATAAGACAAACATGTGCGCTCTGACCACTGTTACTTAGCATAGTACTGGAAGCCCTAGCCATAGCAATCAGACAACAAAAAGAAACAAAAGTCAACCAAATCAGCAAGAAGTAAAACTCTTAACTATTTGCAGATGACATGATACTCCATATAGAAACCCAAAGGATTCCACCAAAAAACCCTGCTAGAACTGATACATGAATTCAGTGAAGTCTCAGAATAAAAAATCAATGTACAAAAATCTGTTGCATTTCTATACACCAATAATGAAGCAGCAGAAAGAGAAATTCAGGAATCAATCCCATTTACAACTGCACCAAAAATAGTAAGATACCCAGGAATAAACCTAACCAAAGAGGTGAAAGACCTGTACTCTGAAAACTATAAAACACTGATGAAAGAAACTGAAGATGACACAAAGAAATGGAAAAACATTCCATGCTTATGGATTGGAAGAATAAATATTGTTAAAATGTCTATACTACCCAAAGCAATCTACACATTTAATGCAATTCCTATCAAAATACCAACAAGAGCATTTTTCACAGAGCTAGAACAAACAATCCTAAAATTTGCATGGAATCACAAAAGACCATGAACAGTCAACGCAGTCTTGAAAAAGAAAAGCAAAGCTGGATGCACCACAATTCCAGACTTCAAGTTATATTACAAAGCTGGAGTGATCAAAACAGTATGATATTGGCACAAAATAGACATATAGATCAATGAAACAGAAAAGAAAACTCAGAAATGTAACCCACAACCAACCTCAATTAATCTTCAACAATGCAGGAAACAATATCCAATGGGAAAAAGACAGTCTCTTCAACAAATGATGTTAGAAAAACTGGACAGCAACATGCAAAAGAATGAAACTGGATCACTTTCTTATACCATACACAAAAATAAATTCAAAATGGGTTAAAGACTTAAATGTGAGACCTGAAACCATTAAAATCTGAGAGGAGAACACAGGCCGTAACCTCTTTGACACTGGCTGTAGCAACTTCTTTCTAGTTATGTCTCCTTAGACAAGGGAAACAAAAGCAAAAATAAACTATTGGGACTTCATCAAAGTAAAAATCTCCTGCACAGGGAAGGAAACAATCAAGAAAACAAAAAGGCAACCTATGAAATGGGAGAAGACATTTGCAAATGATATATCTGATAAAAGGTTAGTATCCAAAATACACAAAGAACTTCTAAAACTCAACACCCCAAAAATGAATAATCCAAATAATACATAGGCAGAAGACATGAGTAAACATTTTCCCAAAGAACACATACAAATGGCTAACACACATGAAAAGATGTTCAACATCTCATCATCAGGGATACAAATAAAAACTACAACGAGGTATCACCTCACATCTGTGAGAAAGGCTAAAATCAACAACACAAGAAACAACAGGTGCTGGCGAGGATGTGGAGAAAGGGAAACCCTCCCACACTATTGGTGGGAATGAAAACTGGTACAGCCACTCTGGAAAACAGTATGGAGACTCCTCAAGAAGTTAAAAATAGAACTATCCTATAATCCAACAATTATACTACTAGGTATTTACCCAAAGGATACAAAAATATTAATTTGAAGGGGCAGATGCACCATGATGTTTATAGCAGCATTGTCTACAATAGCCAAATTATGGAAGGAGGCCAAATATACATCGACTGATGACTGGATAAAGAAGATGTGGTGTATATATGCAATGGAATATTACTCAGCCATAAAAAAGAATGAAATCTTGCCATTTGCAGTGACATGGATGGAGCTAGAGAGTATTATGCTAAGCAAAATAAGTCAATCAGAGAATGACAAATACCATATGATTTCATTCATATGTAGAATTTAAGAAATGAAATGGATGAACATGGGGGAAAAGAGATAGGCAAACTATAAAACAGGGTCTTAACTATAGAGAACAAACTGAGGGTTGCTGGAGGCGAGGTGGGGGGGATGGGCTAAATGGGTGGTGGGTATTAAGGAGGGCCCTTGTGATGAGCCCTGGGTGTTTTATGTAAGTGATCAATCAGTAAATTCTACTCCTGAAACCAGTTTACTGTAAACTAACCCCTCCTGCCCACCTCTCCTCCAGTAACCCTCAGTTTGTTGTCTATAGTTAAGAGTCTGTGAAACTAAATCCAATTTAAATAAAAACTTATATGTATATATAATATATATATTATATTTGTAACTTCTAGAATCAATTATAAAAAAAAAAAGACAACTCAAAAGAATATGTCCAAAGGACTTGAGTGGGCAATTAATTCCAAAAGAAGTCTGAAGTGTCAAAAAGTACAAGAAAATATACAGAACCTTTTTATAATCAGGGAAATGAAAATTTAAATCATGAAGATATATCATCATATACCCAATAACTTAATAAGAATGTTGAAGTCTAATGAAACCAAAATTTGGTGAGAACACAGGACAATGAGAACTCGTTACACTGTTGGTGGTATGAAAGTTAGTAAATCTCTACAAAAATGGGTTTGAGGTCATAGAGTAAAGTTTCAAGGTATGCTTTCTTATATTAATTAATTCTACTCCTGGATACCAAACCCACAGAAATATATTCACAAGTTTCAGAGTATATATTTAAGATATGTCCAAGAATGTTCATAACAGCTTTGCTTATAATGGTCTAAAAATGGAAACAGACCACAATGGATTGTTACACATTCCCTTTGGTAAAAACAATACAGTAATATATAGAAATAAACTACAACTACACGTAAGGACAAGAACAAATAACACAAACAGAATGTTGAACATAAGAAGCAAGAAAAAAGAATATATGAAATATTGAGTCCATTCATAAACTGAAATTTTGGCAAAACTCAATTATGTTATTTAAGGATATACATAGTGATAAAATTATACTTAAAAGGTAAAGAAATGAATATCACAAAATTCAGACTAATGGTTATGCTACTGAGAAAGGAGGCCAGCGATGTATCAGGGAGAAGTATGTGGGGGTGATTAGGATGCTTGATATGTTGTATTTCTTGGCTGTAGTAGTGGTTGTTTCCTTTAAAATAATTCACTAAACTATCCTTGTGTTTATTTATAGAGTTTTTATAAGTCTCCTTTGTTTCGCTATAAAACAATAATTAAAAAAACATTAGGGTAGTTTCCACTCCTCTCTAGCATAAATTTACCAGGAAGTTTTTAGTGTGGATTAGAATAACTCCTAACTTTGTCAGATCTAAAAGTTTCTCAGCATCCTATTCTCAGCACTGGAGAGAAACACCTACTGAAGAACCTCTTATTCTCAATGCAGCCACCTTTATACAGTTACAAATTTACAGCTGTGAGCTCTGGATGTACACTCAATTATCTTAGGTTTTTTCCTACCAAAAATATATAAACACAACAAATCCAAACTATAGAAAATTCATTTCTGCAGGGGTTCTTATTTTCTCCTTGAGAAAGTTAGTGAACCAGTAGTTCATAAAATATCCTTTATTGGCATTCATATTCTTACATGTGATTTGTAGTATAGAATAAGAGCTCATTTCCTGCAAACCATTTTCTACCTATTACATGACACATAGAATTTGAACTACTGTTAATGTCACAGTTTAGAGTAGACTTTTCCTCTTTCTATATGAAATGTATCAAAGCTCTTATTCTGATTTTGTGCCTGTTACAAGTTAAAAACCAAGCAGTTATGCATTGTATAAATGTTAAATTCACTACTTTATACAAATTATTATGATAATGAATGGAAGGTGATGGTAGTTCCCTAGATCACTTTTTTCCTTTAAATTATTCTAAGGCATAAATAGAATTTATTGCTTAATACTTCTGATAATTACTTAAGGTCATTTAAATGCCTAATTCTCCCCTCCCCATTCTCTTTCAAAATACAATATGGGCTTTAATGCATACTGTGATCATATGACATGGAGAAAAATCAAACAAAACTATAGTTACTTTAGGAAAAAACACGTATCAATGTGTCTGGTCTTACCTTGCGAACACCTCGGCCAAGCTCTTCTCCATAGTTGGTTCCAAGAATTTCAAAGTGAACATTGGGATTTCCTCCATTCTCTCCAAATTCTAGTTCTCCAGTCAACCCACTGACTCCACCCTGAAGTAAAGATATCAATGTAAGATTTCAGAAGAAGTAAAATAACAATAATAATAACAACAATAACAATAATAATGAGAAGTGGGAGAGAAGGAGAAAAAGAAGTTCTAGGAATACTATTTCCATCAACAAAATAAATATTATATCAAGCGTGTAATTATTAACAGGCTATTGTACACATAATAAATGGAGAGCAATTGAAAGTTGACCTTGAGAATAACAATCCAATCTCATCCACTTTACAAACAAGGGAATTTATACTCAAAGAGTCAAATGACTACTGAAATGACACCATGGTAGAGCTGAGACTAAACTGCGGGCTAGGATTTTTGCCGCCATATCTTGTGAAATGCACAGTTCCATTAGTCAGAAAACAAGATGCTTCTGGAGAGCATAAAATCTACTCTGGAGACAAGTTTTGACAATATTCTTTATCTAGCACAATTCTAATTTGATTTAAAAATTATATCTGGGAATCTTAAAAGCCACGGTTTCTAACTTATTGGAGATTTAGTTTTTCCTTCTTCTTTAAATATCTTTTCCAAATTAAAAAAAAAATTAAAAAGCTAAATTAGGCTTGAAATCTGTTTTTGCTCTTAAATAGTAATGCTGGCTGTTGAGATTCATTGGGAATTTCCAAACTTCATCTTTCATTCAACATGACAGATGTTCATTTCCCCAACAGATGGCAATGTAGGTCATACTTCTCTCTCTCTTGTTTACCACTCCATTCTCAGTTTAGTTAATCAGCCTTCACCTTATTTAGGATTTTACAAATTAAAATCATATTCCAAATCACTTCTATACTAAAGCATTTTAACTTAGAATTTCAGCCTGATAATCACACTTATTTGGAAAAGTTACCTCCATTTGTAAATTCCTTCGATTATCACCTCTATGATGTTGATACCCAACTATATCTCATTTTGCCATAACCTCTAATTCAACATCTAGGCTTTTTTGGCAGGTTTTATGCTGTTTGCTACATCTTCTACTTTATCTGTGTCTGGGAGCCCATCATATGACTCTATGTTCACAACAGATTCAATAAATCCATTGCTTAATCATTAATTTCAATATTTATTTCATTTTTGCAATAACAATAATCAACAAAACTGATCCTCCACGATTATTTCTTAATAAGCGAGCTTCTCTTTTATTATCTGGTTTTATTAATGAAAGTATGTTGAATTTGATATGTCTATGTTCTTCTCATACATGAGTTAGCAGTCAATAGCATGGATTTTGGAGTCAGACTACCTGAATTTGATAAATGATGTTAGAATCCACTAGAGCTGGTAAACCTGGCTAAGTCACTGAATTTCTCTATACCCCAATTTCTACATCTATTAAATAGCAAAATAATAGTGCCTACCCCAGAAGACTATTATGTGTCTTATAATACCATACCCATAAAGAATATAGAAGAGTGCTTTAAAAGTGGTGAAAGCTTAATTACTATCATCATCATCATCATCATCACCATCATCATCATCTACATGATTATTTCATTCTTTAATTTCAAAGACTTTCTAGTTTTGTCAGAAATTGTAGACATACTCCTGGTCTTTTTCAACTAGTTTATTAGGGTTGCAAAATTTCATTTTATGTTTGGATATTTATGTAGTTTTGGGAAATGTTTTTGCAAATTTTGACTCAGTTACATTTCATTGATTAGTATTTGGGGCAAAAAAGTGTTAAAGCAGCTGGTCTAAGATCCATTCACTTATTTTACTGTTATGTGTGTTGTGGGAGGAGGGGGTGCGGGTCAGGAGAAGAAAAAAAGAAAGGAGGTAAGGAAGTTTAATGTCCTTGTCAACTAGAACTCCAGGTAGAAACTAGTAATATTTAATAGGAAGAAGAGTCCTTATCTATAAAAGCCCTTAGCAGGATGTCCTCCACTGAAAACTTATTGTTGTAAATAAACTCAGAATCTGTAGATTAATGGTTTATGGCTCCCTGGAAAATGTCCTGAAGCTTTACCCTTTCTAGAGTAAAAATGGAGACATTTCATATGTAAATGCTCTCTGTTGTATGAGGTAAACTGATGAAACTTTCCTTGGAGACAGAACGTGCGTGTCCAACGTGGAAAGAAAGGATTCGGAGAACCATGTAGAATGCCCTACAATCTCTCTCCTCTGTGCCTCTTAATTTCCTGTATCTTGATATGGGCAAATGAACCTATTATTGCACGTCAATTCGATCCTATGTGTTCCTTCAGTATTAACATCTCAAAGAATCCAATTATCACTCTAGAATTTGAAGACTGGGGTAAGTACCATGGATCTTATTATCATGAATATCTCTAAATAGCAAATACTGTAGGAGTTTGACTCACAAATATAGCTTATATTTCTAAACCTAAGTAAAATTCTCGGTATACTAAAATCTTCTATTACAGATTTTCTTGTCCTAATTCATACATCTACCCCAATAATATCTCCTAATTACATCAGAGTTTAAATTTCTGTGTCAGTACTTTATTTCTAGGGAAAAGAACAAAGATATTATGTATCAATATGATTGCTACATTGCAAAAATGCTATACTCCTGAAATTTTTAAACTTTTGAGCACTAGATTGCGTGGCACTATATTATTATTCCCTGTCAATACTCATATGGCCTATCCATTGCTTGTATCTGGTACTGGGGCAGTTAATACTGATACGGCCTATCCATAGCTTGTATCTGGTACTGAGCAACTTAGTCTATTTACACTGTATACAAGGTACAAAAAAAACGTAAATCAGGGGACCTGCACTTAGTTAACTGTGGCCTCCACTTACCTTGTTCACCTTTTTGACTCTGTAATTTGTCTTCTTTGTGTTACATTCTTAATGAGCTATTAGCATGTGTAATCAGTAAAATCTTCCCTCATGAAGATATAAGGGATGCTTGAGAGGTTGGAATTTCAAGCAAATAAACCCTTTATCTGAAGCCCCTTGTTATCTGCCCCCAACTTAACCTCTCTGATTTTTGATTGCCTAAGACTATTCCCATGCTTTTGAGCTTTTTCTTTTTCTTTTTTTTTCTTTTTTCATTTATCCTCAGATCAACTTTGCAAACTGAGCCTTGATAAAAATACGTGCTGGCCAGGTGGTAATGAGCAGTCATTATCTTTGTGCATGCACAGTTGCATTTTTTATCTCTTGGTGATGCAGCAGATTCTAAACAAAACAAGCTAATGGGACATTGATAGTATGAATAACACATACAAGTAATTTCTAAACGTCCTTTAAATTGACAGTAAAAATTGCTGCCAGAGTAAACCTTTTTTAAAATACCAAGTAAAATTGGTCTTGATTTCATCCTACCTAATCTATATAGGAATACCAGTGGGTATCAAATATGGAATGGAGAGAGGCGGAAAAATAAAATAAGGAGAATCAAAGGTTGGGATTAATTTATCACTGGATAATCAGTTTCTCAAAAGACAGAAGTTTGTTGTTCCCCTATAGATAGGATAAGTTGGAGGGAAAAAAAAGAAGAGAAAATATTTACTAAGAATTTATTTCCCTCTGTTATGAGGCTAAAGGACTTTTCCTTATGCTTGAACTGCACAGTAACTTAGAGACACTTTTGGAGGATCATATGGAACATCAAATATTTATGACACTCGCCTAATTTCCTTATACATATTTCTAGGTTCCTTGCAACTTGCAGACATGCTTGGTAACCAAGAACACCCTGTTAAATAAATATGAGCCCAGAAAGGCAGAGATCACACTGAAAGATGCCAGACTCAGTGGTGTACCCTGGTGCCCTCATGTTTCATAAGTTAATTTCAGAGAGAAAAATCCCTGACAGGAAATATTACATCTCTACCCAGAAAAAAAAATGTAATGGTAGATAAATACTACATTATAAGACGAAGAAAACCACAAAAAATAATAAAAAAAACACTTCATTTGTGTGAAATGTTTAGGAAAATTTGAAGTTACCATATAACATTTGTGTGTGTTATATATGCATACATATGTGCATATGTGTATTTGCCTATACACATATGCATTAAAATATTCATTCATAATAGATACTTGCAGTGAACCGAGAAGTCAATAGGGTATTGTTAGTATTTTGATTATGCTATCTATATCTTAGAGATAAAGACACTGAGGTCCAGATGACAAGTTATTTGAGGAACCTGAACTGAAATCTCCATCCTATGCTTCATACTTCTTCCCCTAGACTATATAAACTGTGTGCCCAACATTATATATATATATATATATATTATATATATATATATGTATATATCATAGTGGATTGCTCAAAAATATATGTTGAACTGAAATAAGTTAAAATTTATACCATTTTACCCACTTCGTGATTCAGATGTCCTGAAACTGGAGTATACATTGACATGTCTACAAGAGTCCCTATTCTAAGGGCATAGACAGCATTTTAAAAGCTCTAGTGGCAAAAAAAGTTTATTTGCACACATTATTGTAAAAACGCTATATCGTATTCCAAGTCAGTCCTGCTGCTGGTAAGTCAGATTATGTTTTCCTAAACTATCTTTCTCTCCTTCAGGTTTATAAATTCTAAATGGTACGTGGTGCTTTACACCAAAAGCAAAGTAATATGTTTTCATTCCTCTAAGTATACAAATTAAGTGACAACAACAACAAGAGCCCCAACTTATTAGGGTTATTTTTCTCCAAGTCAGAAGCCTAGAATCTTCTCTTCTTCCCTGCATGTTTATGTTAAGTCACCAAATCTTATTTTAATCACCTAAATATCTCTCAAAGACATCTATTTCTATCCATCCCTACCACCAACACCATTGCCCTGGTTTCCTTTGAGTTGGAACACCAGACTGTTAAGTCTCATTTTCTCATCCAGTCTGTCTTGGTCCAATGGCAGCTGCAGAATGAATTCTCCACTTGGCAGCCACTGAGTACAATCCAATTTTGTCACCACCACCCCGCCCCCACATTTAAAATACCTCAGTAGCTTAAGCTTGCCCCTTGAATAAAGTTCAGGAACTTGAATATGGT